AACACCTCTTTCGCCCAATGCACCCAACGCACCCCAAGCGCAAGCGCCAGAACAATCGAAGCCGGAACCGTCTACTGAACGACCAGTACAGCAACACCCACAACAACCACAAGCTGCTGAAGACGACAGCAAGGGAGGCTGCGGATGCTGTGTGGTCATGTAAAGACCTAGTCTTCACCCAGCCTGCCCATGTTCGACGGAACCACGATATCGAGGATACCCATTCCCTTCCCTACGTATCTGATAACACTTACGACGTAACGAATTTCCTTTACAATCTGCTTGCATTCAGCCATTGTGTTAAATCGTATCATACCAACTCAGCCTGCTATCTCTTTAGCGACGCAACTGCCATTCCCTTTGTCACAACTTTAGCGATCCGTTCCATCCCATCCGGACCAAAAGATAGCGACCTTGTCACCGAGACACCACTTCACTCGCGGAAAGGTCAAGCATTCACCGACCTGACAGGCTCAAGCGGTAGCTGTCTGAGATCTGGTGATGTGAGAGGTACACGTCTTCCCCGGAGTCCTTCATTATTTGTATTTAATTATCGGCGTTTGAGCTTCTTGTTTTGCGTTTTGATAGTTGAGTGGTTTTGCCGTTAAAATGGTACTTCTTGTTATATTCTTGCCAAAGGAGGAGGGGACATGAACCGGAGTGGGATGATAGACTTGATGGGCCTTGTGGTGGGCGCTCTGACTGAGTGAGCGAGAGTATGGGTGATGCTGGCGTGAGTTGGTTCCAGCGACTGGAACCTGCTCATTTATCTTGTTATTGGAGGTTTTGGAGAGCGAAGTTGAGTGAATCAATAACAAGACGTTAAATTATTAGATGCTGTGTCGTGTATGTGAATGACCTCACGGTCTTATTGTTTCTTTGAGCCTTAAGAGGTATGTGCCAAGAAACCTTGAACGATTGCTCGTCACGATGTTGCAAAGGTTTGTGTCTGGCATGAACATTGAGCATCTCGAGCTGAATATCAGGTATTCCACATCGAAACAAGTTATTCTAACGAGACATCACCCCAATATCACCAAGTTACCCCTCAGCTCTGAAGCTTTTTCGGAAAACCCGGTCTCGAAAACGCCCACAACGTCATCATTACCCTTTGGCTGTACGCGTCTCAACCGGGAGATCGGCACATTAAATTTCGCGTGAATTCATGCAGTTCTCATTATTAAAACGAAGAATTATCAGGGAACTGTGTACGGATAACGGCATTCCAGAAACGGGTAATTCGGATCTAATGCGATGCGGTAATGCCCGCGTGTGGAGTTTGGCTTGTTAGTTTGCATCATCGAGATGCTGACGTAGAGAGACTGAGCGAGCGAGTTAGATCTGGAGTTGGGTATACTATGGGCTACTTATATATAAATCGGGAGATCTCCTGGTGTCTTTCTTGGCATTTGGAATTCATTTAAATGTTTGCAATTGCTTCAGTGCAAGATAGCATCAGTGACAATGGTTCATCAACACGGAGATCATCATAAAATCCCCGCCAAGCACCGGATTCACAAGTAGGACCTACAGTCTCAACCACAGCATCACCGTGTGCTAACAACTACAGACCTGGAGCATGGCTTCCCGCCGACCATCGCGTGCACAGAGAGTACATGCGCCGCGTCACAAAGCACGCAGATGAGAACCCCAAAGAGCTCACCCCCGTTCTCCAAGAGTTCAAGGACTTTATCGAGAAGACGCCCCGCGTGTACATGTACTTCATCCAGATGTTTGAGGAGATCCCCCAGAAACACCCTTATCAGAATGACCCTACTGGAACACCTCAGCTGAGAGACTATGAGCATATGCTGCAGGTGCTCAATCACATTTTTAGCACAGCGCCAGAGTGGACGGATGCGGCGGAGAGTGTGGGCATGGTAGGCGTGCCGCTTTGTGCCATTTTTGACTATCCTATGGGAACGCCTAGGTGAGTTTAATGAGATACGACATTCAGAGGTGATTGCTGACGAGTGAGATAGTGGTTATGCCGCGTTTTTGGACCCTGATGTGAATCGGATGCTGAAGAAGGTTCTCAACCACTGGGGCAAGTTCCTCCTGGTATGTTGATCCATATGAGTTATCAAGAGAGTCACACTGACGACAGATAGACGCCTGAATCTGCCAAGGTTCTTGGAGATCACACGCAAGGTTGGTTCGGCCCAGTAGGCCTGAATGATCTCGTCGAGGTCGCCAACAAGCCCAACAAAACGAACTTCAAGTTTGAGGAGGTCTTTGAGTGTGATCCATCAGCCAAGTACTACGGCTTCAAGTCTTGGGATGGTAAGTCGGGAAATTCACTAGAATGAGCCACAGCTGACGAACCGTGTAGACTTCTTCACTCGTAAAGTTCGCGACAGCGCTCGCCCCGTCGCTTCACCAGATGACGACCTCGTCATCGCCAACTGTTGCGAGTCACGCGTCTACAACATCGAACGCGACGTGAAACTTCGCGACCGTTTCTTCGCCAAGGGCCAACCTTACTCTATCCTCGACATGCTGGCTCATGATCCTCTCGCTGAGAAATTCGCCGGCGGAACGATCTACCAAGCCTTCCTGTCGGCCCTCTCCTATCACCGCTGGCACACTCCCGTCTCTGGTAAGGTTGTGCGTGCCTTCGTCCAAGACGGCACGTATTTCAGCGAGCCTCTGTTCGAAGGTGTAGGCGAACCTGGATCAACTGAGATCTCGTCAGCGGGATTATCGCAGAGTCAGGGATATCTGAGTGCATTGGCGACGAGAGCTATTATTCTGATCGAGGCTGACGAGCCGGCAATTGGACTCATTGCGTTCGTTGGTATTGGTATGGATGAGGTTAGTACATGTGAGATTACTGTTAAGGAGGGACAGCACGTCAAGAAAGGACAGGAGACGGGAATGTTTCACTTTGGAGGCTCGACGCATTGTGTTATCTTCCGCAAGGGTGTCAAGGTTGAGGGATTCCCCGAGGTTGGCAGGGAGGAGAACGTGCCAGTCCGAAGTCAGCTGGCTATTGTGAAGAAGTAAGATAGTTCCAGATACGTCGGGAGATAGTCAAAACAGAATGTATTACGCTTCATTTATGCTGTCATTATTTATTTCTTCGCATCGTCCTTCATACCAGCCTGAACCCAAGCCTTGGATGCACTAGCCTTAGCCTCAAGCTCCTCCTCACTCAGCTTGGCCAGCTCAAACGCTGTGTGGCGCGTAGGAACATGACGACCAGCCTCGAAACCAGGACGCTCCAGGAGCTTGTAGAGCCACTTCTCAAGGTGGGGAAACTCGGAGAGATCAACGCCAGCCCATTCTGTTGGGTGTTAGAGAACGGTGATGATGCAGGGGAGATAAGAGACTCACTTGCGCTGGAGACCCAGCCCCAGATGGAAATGTCAGCGATGGTAACTTTGTCGCCGACGATGTAGCCGGATTCTGTCTGGGCGAGATGAGTGTCGAGGGTGCGGTAGAGACGACGGGTCTCGTTGGTGTAGCGGTTGATGCCGTACTCAATCTTCTCAGGAGCGTAGCCTACACATGTCAGTATAGTACCGTAATTTGTATGAGCGAGGACATACGCTTGAAGTGGTTGGCTTGACCCTGCATGGGACCGAGGCCACCCATCTGCCACATGAGCTGCGAACTGTTAGCAATGATCTGACTGCACGTACGAATGCGAAAACTCACCCAGCTGGTCATCTCCCAATGCTCAGCAGATCCATGAGGAAACGACAGCTTGTGATCCTTATCGTAGCGATCAACGAGGTACTGCAACATAGCACCACTCTCAAAAACGCGGATCTGCTTGCCGTCGAGAGTGTCAGTGAGAGCAGGGATGCGACCGTTAGGGTTGATCTTGAGGAACCACTCCTCCTTCTGCTCATTCTCGGTCATCTTGATGGGATACACCTGAGACTGTTAGTGGTACTCATAAGTGTGGAGAGTGAGAGATTGAATACCTTGTACTCGAGGTTCAGCTCCTCGAGCAAGATAGAGGGTTTGATGCCATTGGGCGTGTTGGTGGTGTAGAGGGTGATGTCGGTCTTTGTCTTTTGAGCCATTGTGAAGAGCTGTTTTCCCAATTGGATGATGCGCGATGTCATTAATTGAGAGCTTGTAGATACGAGGATTGAGCTTGGATGGGGGGAATGGCACTTTATATGATGATATGAGGTTACAAATACTACATCTGTAGAGCTACGGCATGGTGAGGGGTTCCCTTTTCTGGGGATTGGATGGATTATTCATTGCACAGCTGAATTTGGCTTGGTAATCCGACGTTGGTGGAGGTTGAACCCACATTGGACCAAGGCATATTGCGCGATTGTTACAACAGTCTTTGTAATCAGCCCGTCTCCGAATGCTCCATGGGGAATTACTCCAGTTGTTTCTGTATCGATTATTTTATTTATGATGTTGAAGGCCTCCGTCTCTTACTCTGATGATATGAGATTGCCTCTTCTGGCAAGTCGTTATCAGCGTCGGCACTTTGAGTGAACTACCAAGCCCGGCCAGGGTCGTTGATGTCATTGCTCTGAGCTCCAGACTGTCCGTGAGCTCTCTCCTTTGATTGGCCGAGGACAAAGACAACTTTTCCACTGAGTTATGTTGCTGAGCTGCTCACCAGATTAATTCCTCGACGTTAAAGCTTTATTCCCACTAGCACCCAAACTGTACCCATTTGCAACAGACCTTTAGAGCCGTCATTGCTGTTTTGCAGCCTCCAGTCCAGCCGCCGGGTTCTCGGTTCCCCATGATGGATACGTATCTTGACAACGGAATTGGTGCCGGATCGGCCCCACTCTCGGCCCCGGACACCGAACGACCATCAAAATTTCGTGTAAGCGACACTGAAGGACCTCGCAAACTATAGGAATAGACCTCCATAATGGAGTCCTTGATTTAGGCACAGGGATCAAAGAATCATCCTCTTCTTTCCCACAGTCGAACATCCTTCGCTGAATTCTTAAAGAGACCGTTAACCGGAGTCACATTCTCAATCAGACCCTCCTTTCGTAGACAATATCATGTCTCCTCAGATTTCTGGCATCACTGGACGTCCGTTATCCTCAGCAACATTCCCCCATAGATCATCAAGTGTATCGTCGACAAAATCCCGGATGAAAATAGCCTTCACAGAGAGCAGAGCTGGGAATAGGACTATTGATCTGAGCCTGAATCCGATCACAACCCTAATCAAGTGTACCTGGATGCTCTCAACCTTGCAACGACCTGTAAAGACATCCTCAGGCTGGTGACGAAGCAAATCTATACTAGAGATGCGAGGCATTACCAGTCGGCAGCCTTGCTAATATCTTCTAAGCGTGGTGAAATTGCTGGCGTCATCTGGGCCCTTGATGTGGGAGCTAGCATTCACTCTGATGATGCGACGGAGGCAGTCACCTACTGCACCACCTCCCCAAACGCTGTCAAGACTGGCCATATGGTTCCTTTGAACCTTGAAAACCAAGTAACTGCCATTCACTGGGCCGCTTTCGATGGGCACAAGAAAATTGAGTTGCTACTCCTGACTCATGGGGCCAATATCAGCCATAGAGTCAGAATCGACGCTCATGAGAGGCTTACTCGCCCGAGGTTGCCGGCTGATCAGTAGGACCAGGATTGTTCTGTCCTATATCATTACCCATCCACTTTCACACAGAGCTACGGCAGATAATGCTTTCTTAGGCCTGAGGTGTTTGGGATCTCCGGAAGTCATCGACAACCAATATCGACTCATGAAGTTAAAGCAAGGGGCAGCTCCTCTATGCTTTGCTGTAGAGGGTGGCAATATTGAGACTGCAGAGTATCTCATCAAAGTTGGGGCCGATTTGACGACCCATACTGGGACAAGGCTCAACACTAGACTTGAACTTTATGTAATCTTGATTAAGTGTTCGTATCCTTGGTTTATTTCATGATGGAAACAGTTATGTTTTGATAGTATATGATGCCATAGTTCTCCGGAAAGGGGAACCTCAGTACGAAATAGAAAATGGGTTACTAGTGTATTCAAACCCAATATCAAACCACTGAAAATAATAGCCATTATCAAACTGTCCTTCACTGCTCGACATTCTACAATTTCCAACTGTCGCGCCTTATGAGCTTGACTATGCCTTGCCTTTACTTCCACAGATATCCATCAATCTCTCGACCTCAGCCTGTACTATCTCTATCCCTTCATCTGCTCATTGCATAAAAGGCTTACGTGCATTCTTCTTCAAATGGACGTGCCAAACCTCCAAAACTAACTTTTTGACGTTGAGCTTTATAGCGCCAGCTTTGATGCAGTCTTGCATGACCCCAGCGGTGAAGTCATTTGTCCCGTGGAGTGCCATAACTGCACACCCGCTGACTTGTTGATTAATGGATGAGAGCCTGGCGAGGTCGAGTTCCGGTCCCTTAGGACTGTAGTCACCATGAATATTGCCAACAATCGGAGCGAGAATATCGATGCCTGCTTTGAGGAAGTCTTCTACTTGGGAGAAGTAAATGGGGCTACCTCTATGTCAGATACTGTTTCTTCAGCTTTTTCTTCAGCAATGAATGGCACTTGCCTTCAACATCACCAGTGTCAGCAATGCCATCTTCCCCTCCATTAATACGCCCAATCTGCGCCTTGACAGCGATACCTCGCTCATGACACAGCCTCGTCAGTGCAGCGGTCTTGGCAAGATTTTCCTCGTGATCATAGTGGCCCATATCGACCATAATAGAGTCGAAAGGCAAAGTCTTAACACCCTCTTCGATCTGAGATACATCTTGTGCATGATCGAGATGTAGAGAGAGCGGAACGAACGCAGAGTTTATAGCTGCGGATGCTGCCCAGGCTAGAGTTGGTAGCAGTCTCAGAGTAGAAGGAAACAGAAGGAGAATCAGTGGAGATCGTTTTGCTTCGGCTGCTTTGAATATTGCTGTGAGATGTTCAATATTGTGACTAAGCATTTATGGCCAGTAAGAAGCGCCTATGATGCTGCGGAAGGCAAACCATATTGCTACTAGCACCCCATAATTGCCCTTGACAGCATGTTCCAGGATTCGCAAAGTTCTGATTGTGTTTCTCCAACTTTCAGTTGATTCTTCCACGATGGATTGGTACGTAATGGAAGTTCTTTACTGAAGAGAGCGGATATTGGATGGTGTGATATGGATGCAATGGCGTACCTGATTTAGCCATCATCCAACGAGGAAATTATAGCCACCAACTGCTCGTTTGGGCGCGAGGTTAATGGCAACAGGAGGATCAAATAAGTTCCGCAGAAATTCGTGCATTCACCTGACATCTTTTATGGCTATGAAATCATTGCATGCGTGTATGTTGCACATGCTATACTCATGTGTACTGAGACGGTTATGTAGATATCAATGGTGTCCCCGAAGGAAGACACTGGCTTATAAACCTGATGTTTCTGCGAGACGCTGCCCAAAGCGTCTTAAATACATATTGTTTCGAGCCTCCGATACTATCTAACTATGCTTTTGCAATCTACACAACCCATGACTCTGTAGTTGGCCCAAAATAGTCAACACGTAGCTTGCAAGCTAGCTATCTCATCATGCCCACCACGGGGATTTGTTTCGATAGTTCATCCTAAGTAGAAAAACTTGCTGACAACTCGTCTTTCTTCCTGTTTCATGGAGTTCCAAGCGGTAAAGCTGAGGTAATAAAATAAGCCAGTAAGATCGGCTTTAGGTAGATGGCTAGAAAGGCCAAGTTTGGGAAGGGTTAACAGGAAGTCTACTCAGTCGCTATCAGCTGATAGCGAGCGAGGGCTCTCGACGGTTGGAAACCAGCTCGAGCTATCACACACCCTGAGCTGACGTCAGTTACAAGGTCTCTTCACACGGCAAGAGAATCCAGAGAATTTACGGGGTCAAGAATAAGAAATAGAATAATATACCTATCTTCGGACACAAGGGATAGTTCGCATAACATATCGCCGTGCTCGACTTGACGAAGAACATCGTGTACGCTCGTGTTTTGGCGTAGCATATCAAGAATGACATTCGCTTCTTTGTGGTCTCGTAACCGTAGCAAGTCTACAAGCCTTTTATATTCCGTCTTTTCAGTTTGCAGATGTTCGTAGCGTTGTCTTAATTCGTGATCTTTATTCATGGGGGCATAGCTGCAGTCTGACCCAGCGCGGATGCAGCCTTTACAACTTGGTCGATTCCCACTGCACTACCATAAACGGTTAGATACCAGTTTGAAGTGTATCCGAGATACTAACCCTGATCTTTCGCTTTCGACAGGTTTCACAGGCAGTCGTGACGCCGACTCTGGGGTAGCGTGGGAGGATGACGCGGGGTATAGGGGCAGGCGGAAACTCGGTGGCAGGGAGGAGAGCACGTTGATGGCCTTGGCTCAAACCAGCCATTGCTTCAATAATATCGGGAGTCGTAGTTAGAGGACGATTAATGTTTCCTACCCTGAAAGGTATCTGTTCCGGAGAATATTGGGGAAACTACATCAAGTCAAACAAATACCCGGCTCGGTGGATGTGAGGTATATCAACACAATCTGACAACTTCCCCTATCGACCGCAGTAAGGGAATTATCTGAGACCTCAAAACCTATCATTGGCCACTTACTCGCTCCGTCATCATTTCAACATCCCCGAAACATGCCAACGACCGCATATCAACCCCAGTCTTTTCTCCGAGGAGTGCATGAAAGCCCTGCACCTTCAGCATGATCTTTAGAGTAACCAATAGTATGACATCGGGCTTTGTCCCTCCGATAGAGATGATTGGGCCATTCGCTAGTCAAACTGTAAAATGATCGTCATAATAGCCGCATATCCTAAAAATGTGGGAGGGATCCGACATGATGACTACAAAATGGGTTATCTTGATATTATCAGGGGTTATACACTTTAGATAGTGGGACGAACGAGTCAAGGTGATATAATATTGGTGCAGAGAGCTTTCGGGAGAGGGCCGCCAGTGGTATCTCGGCACACCAGGTTGACGAACCGCGGCTGTCAAATGGGGCTCCAAGGCAAATGATGCCTGCAACATCACCCTGAGAAATAAAAGTGAAATACGCCAAGTTTTTCTCTACTCTTTTTAGTGTGGCAAGGCCACATTTTAGACCGTTTGCGTTGCGTTGAGCTCCATTTCAGCTCAACAGCTATGCACCGCCCAGCCCGTTACTGTACCGCCCCCTGTCAGAATGACGAGAGATATAGAGATATCCAATTTCTGTATGGTACTTAAAAGCCCCCAAACAAGTATTGGAAGTTGCAAAACTCGTCCTAAGTCTTGATATTGAGCAGCGGAGTGAGTATTACGGGGGCATTGATTGCAAGAGCTTCGTTTCCATCGGCCCCATGTCAGGTACATCAAAGCAGCCACTGAAGACGATGCTATGAAATCGTGTAATGTGATTACATAAATGCCCTATTATCGGAAAATGAGGCATCCCTCTAGCTCTAGACCCAATCAATCGATTTTCACGTTCTCTTGATATTTAAAATCCGCCTGACTAGCTGCCTGCCCCCACTAGATCAGAAGGATTCCTGTATTTTTTCTAGTTCATGGAGCAGCAACTGGATGACAAGGGAGACAACTGAAGCGGCCTGGCCCTGAATCAAAGAAACCTGTCTGAAGGCATAAGCAGCTGAGATGAGATACGTGTCCGCCCGTCACCGACTAGCAAACTCACCGGAGTTTACCAGCGTTAGCGAATTTTACAGCAAGGCAAATCTAAGATGAATACTCCCGGGATAGTTTCTCCAGTCGTCAAAAGTATGGTAGACTTTCGATATGTCATAGGATGGCCCTTTGAATAAAGTCCAAGAGGAGCGTCAATCGTAGGGCAACCCCCAGCATTGGTACTTTTGTTGATCGAAGGAGTGAAAATAAAATCGCACTCTGTACGATCTAGAAGCTCGGTAATCTGCTTCCCAATGTTGTTTCGTAGTGATATTGAGTCTGCAAACTCGGGGGAGTCTGGCCCGTACTTCAGGCCCAGTTCCTCGCAATTTAACCACTCATCCACTCCCCAGTCGTCAGGTCGTTCTTCTGGAGTCTCGAGAGTGTATTTAATCACATCTTGAAGTGTGTGAAGAGACTTTGGGTTGCTCTCGTAGCATGACAGTGGCTTTCTCATATATTGTGATATTACCAGCTCTGGGTATACATCAAAGATGGAATGCAAACATACTTTCGCGAATGGAAACTCGCAATCCAAGGGTCCAGTCTAGATCTTCTGAAAAGGTGTAATTGCTGTTGAAATCAGAAAAGCGGACATTATCAACAATGGTAGCTCTCTGGGCTCTCATTATCGAGAGAGCCTTACCGAAAGCAGTGACCACAACTTCATCGGTGGGAAAGAGATGGCGCGGAATCTAGAGTCGCTGTCAGCTCTCAGCCCAAAAGGTTGATTATTGGACTACATGCAGCAATTATCTTGCCTTCAAGACCACGCTTTGTGCAGGCATGAGCAAAATTTGTTCCCTCTTCAGTTTTTTGCGTCTCTGAGTCAACCCCAGGATCAGAGATACTAAAGAAATCGTTGGGATCGGCGCCTAAGAGTTTTAGGGCGTGACAATTCGAGTGTAGAAAGTCATTTGTTCCATACCGGCAATCGCCGTGAGTACAGTTGCTGCGTCTTGAACGGTTCGAGCGAGGACGCTGACAGTCTCTCGCCATTCGCTGACAAAATAGGCCCCATGCCGGGAAGTAAGCCTAACTGCCGGCTTAATGCTTATGACAGCGGACTTTTGAGCAGGGGAGCTCAAGCTTCCTAATGTCTGCCATCGTTAGTTCAGATGGTTGCTTGCCGGTGCAATGAAGACTGCTATTGATATCCGTACCTAGAACTGCTGTTTCTAGGCCCAGGCACGCAGCGACAGCGCTTCCAGAGGAAGGATCTGAACGATCTTGGTCTTTTTGATGAGACGATAAGCTCTAGGCTTCGGCACCTGACCAACCTCCAGAAGAACGGTCTAGAGATCTAGAGTTTGCCCATTCTGTCGGGTCGGTCCTTGCCTAGAGGAGCGCCTCCTGCTCGCTGAGTCGGCGCACGGTCGAAGCCTCGAACGCTGGCACAGCCTCAGTGAATCCAAGGCAGCCGCCTGAAAGCTTTAGTACGTTGAAAACGATGTTCTAGAAACGGCAATGGCTCCGTTGTCGACATCAAGCCACCCTTAGTCAGGAATACGTCCTTCACAAGGACGGATAGAAAATATAATCTGCCACGCGAAGCCCCTGAAGACCGTTCCACGTCTCTTTTGCGTGCTATGGTGCTTTCATCGGGACTTGGATGCGTTGTGGAACGTTTCGGAGGGCTGAAGAGTTCGATTCGCGCGGCATAGGTCTGTATGAAAGGACTGTTAGAATCTGTGTCTCCACACTCAGGAAGAGCGGTGGCGGGTTACCTCTAAAAGTTCAGTGACTGTGAAATGGTCTTGTTCTACGCACGCTAGGAGTTGCTCATGGTTCGCTTCCTTGGTTTGGTCTCTACTATTGTAGGGCTTGTTCGCCACAAGCCGCTTCCCCAGAGAAACATCGAAACCACAGCCTGGTTTAGATTCTATATTAGCATAGCGGGTACTATGTCCATACAAGGAGTGATATAGAGGTCTTATGGAGGGCCATGGACTTTAGAGAGCGGAAGCTAATAATAGAATTGACAATCGGAAGGGGTGATATATGCTCATATTGTGTTGATATGAAATGCAGAACTACCAGAACCTTTTCTCTCTCGCCGAGAGACTCACAGCACTGAATTAATGGGGCTGGAAACCTTGGGATATTCTTCGATAGATCTGTATCAAATCCTCAGTCCAGAAGGTTGAGAATGATGGTAAAGGAAGAGTAAGCACATGCTACCGGTGAAAGAATTGGATCGCATTGGGCTTGTTGACATTTGGAGGCCCTTCAAATTTACAGCTATCATTGTTTGACTGTGGCTTGACTCAAACGCTCTAATGACTTTG